TTCAGGGGATCCTATGGGAGAGTCCACGGAGAGATATCGCAGACGGATTCCGCGAACCCCCCCGCGATACGTTAGCACATTTATTGAAAATAAAATAATCCACCGGCCCCGGATGTCGATGTGATGCTCCCTTAAGCAATGGGGCATCAAAGGGATATGACCGGAACCTCAAGGGACCCCCAGAATAACATCAAAGGAACACCAGAGGAGTCTCAAAGGAGCCCCAAAAGAATCACAATGGAAACGGCAAGGAATCTCAAAAGAAGCCAATCGGAGTATCAAAGGAGTCTCTGGGGAATCTCACAGAAACGCACAGAATCACAGGAAGCGACTCTGGGCAGGTGTGCCTTGTCGCTGGGCTCGGGGGAACAAGGGGGCCGGGCATTCAGAGGCTTGTGGAAACCTTTCTGGATGCCTCCTGGGAACCTCCGGGGACCTCCCCTCCGCGGACCTCTGGTGACCTGCGGGGGATATCGCTTCCGCCCCGGCCCCGGTGCCAGAAGCGTTATAATTTCCTCTGATGAGGGGGGGGGGGGGAGGGGGGGGGGGTTTACTGATTGCTTCCCAGGTTAGGGACGGTGGTGGAACCAGTGGGGACAGTGGTGGTGAGACAGTGGTGCTGGGAACAGCAGTGGGGGATGTGGTGCGGACGGTGGCAGGGACCGGGAGTCGTTTGCTGGCGGTGAGGAGGGTTCGAACCGGTAGTGACCCCCCCTCCGGTTTTCGAGGGGGGGGTTCGAACCGGTAGTGACCCCCCCCCGGTTTTCGAGGGGGAGGGGGGGGGGTTGGTTAGGGAGGGGGGGTTTTGCCGCGGGAGGGGGAGGGGGGGCGGGGGGTTGCAGCAGGAGGGGGGGGATTTTCGGAGGGGGGGCCCCCGGGTTCCGGAGAGGGGGGGGGGAATTTTCCACCGTAAAGCGGCGGTGGATCACGCTCTCTCCAATCTTATGATCCCTAGATGCCTCCACATGTAGCTCCACATGTGGCGGAGCTTCACCCAGTGTGACGAGGATCGACACCATCTTCTCCACTTTGTCGCACAGCAAGGCCCGGTGGTCGATCCGCTGGACCGTCAGGAGGCATCGCCTGCTCTATCTGATCCTGCATGGGCAGTTTGTCCCACGCCACCAGGGTCGCCCTCCTCTTGGAAGGTGTGGTCGGCAGGGTCGTCACCGAGAATCAGGCCGTTGGCGTCGGGCCGGTGGGCATAGGCCGCTCGACGCGCATCCAACGCCTCTCGAGGATCTACCAATCCACCCTCGAGCGGAGCTAGAGCGCGATCCTGGTGCTCATGATCGCGCCAGAGATCTGCGGCCTGCCAGCGGTGCTCCGAGAGCGATCGAAGGATGACGAACCTGCACAGCATCCGCTCGCGCCCGCCGTGGGACTGTTGCGAGGCAGCCTCACACATGCCCCTCGCCAAGCCCTGGCGCTGCCCCTTGGACGGGACGCCGCCACCGACCCACGACCAGGGCATGACAGCGTGGCCAGAGCATCCTGGTGACGCACAGCACGCAGAGATCCTTCCGCTCGTGTCGGTCCTGGTCCGCCCCGACGAGGCCGACGTGCTGGTGACTACCGGTGGGCCGCCCATCCCCGCCATGGCCTCCTGCAGGGGTGTCTACTCCAGATTTCGTAATAAAGGGAGGGGGGTCTCATTTCGGGGGGGGGTCTCTTCCAGGCTATCTTGGAGGGCCTGGGGGGTCTGGGGACGATGTTTTGGAGGGTTCTCCCACGGGGGAGGTCTGAAATGGCTTGTCTTGGAGGGTCCAGACCCCCTCCCTTTTATTACGAAATCTGGAGTACCTCGTCTCGCCTGGCGGAAGTGCGGCTGCACCGAGCGCTGCCCATTGGCCGTGTCGGCAGGCGGCGTCTCCCGAAGGTGCCGCGTGCCCGGCGCCAGCTCGGCATGGGGCGCCGGACGCCGCGGCGGCTCGCGAGGCAGCTGGGCTCGCGGGGGGCCAGCCTCGCCGCGACCTCGTGCCCGTGCTGGCCGCGGCGGGCAGGATGGCGGTGGGCACGAGGGGGGGCAGGAGGGGAAGGAGGAGGAGGGGTGACGGGGGGGCAGGAGGAGAGGGAGGAGGAGGGGTGACGAGGGGGCTGGAGGAGGAGGAGGAGGGGTGACGAGGGGGTTGGAGGAGGAGGAGGCGGAGAAGGAGGGAGGAGGAGGAGGAGGAGGAGGAGGCGGAGAAGGAGGGAGGAGGAGGAGGAGGAGGAGGAGGGAGCACAGCTTGGCCAAGCTATCTGCCGATGTGCTTGCGCAGAAAAAAGGGGGAATCGGGAGATGGAAGAGGAGGAAGAGAAAGGGGAGGAGGAGCGGGAGGAGCAGGAGGAGGAGGAGGAGGAGGAAGAGGAGGGGGAGGAGACCTCAAACACTCCCTCCAAGGTCCTCCTGTATAGTTCCCTACAGGAATGTAACACACAAGTCCCGGGACTGCAACGCCGCGGATCAACGTGACCGCTGCGCTCTGTCAATCCAAAGCCGTGCCAGAAGACCGGTCGCGGGGCTTCAGCACAGCGAATCAGCGTGACTGTGGCGTCCTGGAAATCCTAAGTCGTGCCCGCAGACCCACCCTGGGACAAGCGTGGATCCCTGCAAAGGCTGCCATTGTTTAGGGCGCATGTGCGCAGCCCCGAAGGCGAGAGACACTTTTTGACAAGGGCCCGCCCGCCATCCGTGAAACTGCACAGCTGGAGCTTCACGGTCATAAGTTGTGGGGGGGTCTCAGGCGACACGCCCCGCCCGCCCTGCCGACACGTCCGGGGGTGCGACACGGCGGAGCCATTTAGCACCAGAAGACGTCGAGGAGGCCCCGACGAGCACCGTCGATCCGAGCTAGCACGACGCTGTTCGTGATGCTCCCGAAGAAAGGAGAGGAAGAAACCCAGCAACTGGCGACCCATCGCCATCTTGCAGACAACGTCTTAAGATCTGCTCAAAGTTGGTATACAAAAGACTTGACAGGGCACCTTGCAGCAAATCAGCCGCCAGACCAAATAGGCTTCTGGAACCAGCACTTAATCAACTATGGTCTCGCCGTGCTAAAGAATGTATGCGGCAAGTCTCCGGAATGGCATCTTCCATATTGTGTGGCAAGCTTTGATCTTCAAGAAAGCGTTCGACTGGATAGACTATCCTGTTCTGTTTGAGACCTTGCGCGTGCAAGTGGTGGACCAATCGTACACAGCTCGACCTGCGATGCTGTGCAATCAGACCCAGCGCGTGCAAGGTTCGCGGCGCTTCGGCATCAACCGAGAGGTGTCCAGCAGGGTGACGTCATCAGCCCCATGTTGTTCAGCGCCAGCTTAGAGCTCGCACTCTCAATGTGGTAGCTCTCTCTTGGCAATCGTGGACTTGACGTGCGCGTTTTTTCGGGCGAGAGGCTCACCAACGTCCGATACACCGACGACCTCATTGTCTATGCCACATCCTGCAGCGAATTGTGCGACATGATGGAGTCCCTGTGCGTTGAACTCGGCAAAGTTGGTCTGCATCTCAATGCGACGCAGACGACAGTCTTGACGATGGAGGACCTTACTGGGCCGCCGTGCGTCGAGATCGGCGGCGACATGCTCAACATCTTGTTCGGCAGCGATGCTCATTCATTTTTGGGAACAAAAATGTTGGGGCCCTTGCGTCAATGCGCTGACGCCGATTTGTCGCATCGGTTCCAGGCCGCTTGGGGCAAGTTCCATAAGCGGCGGAGCATTTCTACAGACGGGCAGATTTCCATTCATCACCGCTTCAATGTCTTCGATTCAATCGTGACGTCTACGGTGTTGTTCGGTCTGCCAATTCTTGCCCTGACGACGCGCCAGAAGGAGCAGCGGAGCGTTCTGCAACGACGCATCCTGCGCTTGATTGTGGGCTGGGTGCGGCTTGGCGACGAAGACTGGAACGTTTCGCTGCGTAGAATTAGCGACCAGGTCGATAGGGCTATGAAATCGTTGACGGGAATGGTTGGCCCACGGGCAGTACAGCTTCGCTGGTCAGCTTGAACAGAGACCTGGCAGCTGGGCGCGCCGAGTATCGTCTTGGAGCTCGCGGCGCTAATGCGAGAGCCCTGTTGAAGACGGTCCGCCCTCCATCTGCGAAGCTGTTGCCAACGTTTGAACTGCAGGGTCATAAACGGTGAATGGTCTCAGGCGAAACGCCTGGCCCGCCCGAAAAATCGGATTGCATATTCATATTGTTAGGTGAGGTTTGTCACCGATTTCCGCGGCCCGCCCAGGTGCCCCGGTGCCCGGGTGCCTCATAGCCCTATAGCCTTATAGCCCCATAGCCCAATAGCCCTGTAGCCCTATAGCCCAATAGCCCTATAGTCTTACAGCCTTAAAACCCTATAGCCCTATCGCCATAGAGGCCTGTAGTTCTATAGACTTAGAGGCCTATAACCCTACAGCCCTATAGTTTTATAGGCCGCTGGCCTTATAGCCCTAAAGCCCAACAGCCCTATTGCCCTATAGTGTTATACCCTATAGCACTCTAGTCGTATAGCCTTATATCCCCATAGCCCTATAGCCCTATAGCTCTATATGCCTATAGCCCTATATTTCTATAATTATTTATCCCTATAGCCCTGTGGTCCTATAGCCCTACAGCCCCATAGCTTCATATACCCATAACCCTGTAGCCCCATAGCGCTATAGCCCTACAGCCCTATATACCTATGGCCCTTTATAGCCTTATAGACGTGTAGCCTTATGGCCCTATAGCCCCATAGCCCCATCGCCCTATAGGCCAATAGCCCCATAGCCCTATAGCCCTAAGAAGACTTTGTTTGGGGTTTTTCTCCGGTACCATTATGCACAAGGAAAAGGAATAATAATGGAGGAGGCGGAGGAGGATAGGGAGGAGGAGGAGGAGAGCGGCGACGACGAGGACGACGGCGAGGATGGTTGGGGAGGGAGGCGCGCGGAGCCGATGGGGGGGAGGCGGCGCGGAGCCCGAGGTGGGAGAAACGACGCGGCCCGGGGGCGCTGCTCGGCCCCACCCCCCGCAGGAAGACAAGCAGCGGGCCGCCGCCGGGGACGGGGACGAGGCGTGGGCCCTTCGCCGCCGCGGCCCGCCCCACTGCACGGCTCGCCCGCCGCCCTGGCCGGCCTTGGCGTCCGCCAGCCGTCGCAATCGTCGTCGTCGTCGTCGTCCTCCTCCCCAGACCCCCTCGAGTTACGAAAAAAACACGACGGGAGGTTTTTCATTATTTTTGGCCTTCGGGAGCCCTTACCGGCCCTCGGGACCGTCAAAAAACGACTCAGGACGAAAAACCGGTCCCGGGGAACGGGTCGAGACCTCGGGGGGTCGACGTCATGAAAAAATCATGACGTCGGGGGTCTGGGTAGGCTGGACAGTCCATCGGTGCGATCGAGATGGGTGCGGAAAGAACTGGGACGAAGACCGACAGCCTTCCCAGTCCAGTCTGGGCAGGGTTCGCCGTCGGTGCCGCCACGTGCGCTGTCCAGACAGAAGGCTGCTCGCCCAATAGTGGCAGCTGTCCAAACGGGACCACAACATCTGCGATTGGGCATCGTGCCCATTTTTTCCCCCCGCCCATTTCGGGTGTCCCAAATCCATGGTTATGTCGGGCGTGTCCCCCTACAGGGGGATTTTCGACGAAAAATAAAAGGTACCCCAAAGATACCCCAAAAAGGTCAAAATATACTCCCAAAAATAGTCCCCAGACTATTTTTGGACTATGTTTGGACTATTTTGGGGGTATTTTCATTTTTTCGTCGAAAATCCCCCTGTAGGGGGACAGGCCCGACATAAGTCCATGGGCCCCCAGTCGCCGCCCCGCCAAGAACGTGCCGCTTTTGCTGTCGGGCGCCTAGCGCCGACCTGCCGGCGACGCGTCGCCGCGCCGCGCTCGATGCTACCCCTATGTCGGGCGTGTCCCCCTACAGGGGGATTGTCCATGAAAAATAAAAAATACCCAAAGCATACCCCAAAAAGGTCAAAAAATACTACAAAAATAGTCCCCCGACTATTGTTGGACTATTTTTTTACTATTTTTGGGGTATTTTCAATTTTTCGTCGAAAGCCCCCCTGTAGGGGGACAGGCCCGACTTAATGCTGCCCCTCCCTGAGCCGGTGCCCCTGCGTCCCTCCCCCCCTCTGAGCAGTGGCGAGGCGTCCTGGCTCGCCTGCAGGCCCACCGCTTTCTGTTCTCGGAGCATCGCCTTTGCCTTCGGAACACTTCTGGCATCTCTGGAACACTTTTGGGGCATTTTTTTTTGAGCATCTATTTTGCTTTCCGAACACTTGGAACACGTTTGGTCTTTTGGAGCATCACTTTTGCTTTTGGAGCATCTCTTTTGCTCTTGGAACACTTCTGGTTTCCGAGAACATGTCGTGGCAGGCCTGCAGGAATGCCGCGGGACGGTCGGTCCCGGCAGCAGCCCCTCGCCTCGCCCATCCTTCAGGGGTCGGGGGAGGGCCAGTCTTGAGTCGGGCACGTCCCTCGACTGGGGGAGGGTTCAGAAGTAGTTTAAAAGATAGCATGGGGACGATTTGTTGTGCATTTTTTTGACCATTTGGGGGTGATGTTTGAGTATTTTTATTTTTTTTGTATATGGTTTGACCATTTGGGGGTCATTTTTGAGTGTCTTCATTTTTCCTGCAAAATCCCCCCTGTGGGAGGACAGGCCCGACGTGAGGCCCGTCGGAGACCGCGGCGGCCCCCTCCCGGGCGACCTCTGCGCGGCCGCTCTCGGGGCCCATCCGTGGAGGCCCCCCGTCGCCGCGGCGCAAGGGGGGCCCCGCGCCGGAGCACGGGCCAGGATTCAGGAGGGGAAGAAACACACAGACACGATTAATCGTCGATTCCCCCGAAAATATGGGAACATATGGGAATGGGGCGGGAAGACAAAGACCCAGAAGATGTGAGAAACTATGGGGGATCTTTTTATTTCTGTGTATCTGTTTGTGTGTCCCAGGGCCCCTTCCAAGAGGGGGGTGATGACTAGGGAGGGGGTGGATATCACGGCGGGGGCCGTGAGATTTCCCCAGATCTCATGGCGCCTCTCCTTGTTTCGTTACCTCCCTGGCCCCCCCGCTGGGCCGCGCACGTGCCGCCGGTCATGATCTGCACCCCCCTCTTGGCCGCTCCCGAAGGATGGGGGCCCCGCTGCCGTGCACCCCGGGTGCTGCGGTCGAACGGATGGTCGGAGGTTGACAGACCTCCTCCATCCTTCCTCCTCCTCCTCCTTCTGCTCCTCCTCCTCCTCCTCCTCCTCCTCCTCCTCCTCCTCCTCCTCCTCCCCCTCCTCCTCCTCCTCCTCCTCCTCCTCCTCCTCCTCCTCCTCCTCCTCCTCCTCCTCCTCCTCCTCCTCCTCCTCTCCTCCTCCTCCTCCTCCTCCTCCTCCTCCTCCTCCTCCTCCTCCTCCTCCTCCTCCTCCTCCTCCCTCCTCCTCCTCCTCCTCCCCCGTTCGTCCGGCCCGACGTCAACGAGCGCTCCGAGGGCTCGACCCCCTCGGGGGCGTCCACGAGGGGGGGCGCCCGAGGCCCGGCCGCGGCGGCGAGGGGCCCCCCCCAGAGGCCCGACGAGCGCTCCGGGGCCTCGGGGCTCGGGGGCCTGCGGGGGCAGCGGAGAGAGCACAGGCTCGTGGGGAGGGGGGGAGGAGGAGGAGGAGGAGGAGGAGGAGGAGGAGGAGGAGGAGGAGGAGGAGGAGGAGGAGGAGGAAGAGGAGGAGGAGGAGGAGGAGGAAGAGGAGGAAGAGGAGGAAGAGGAGGAAGAGGAGGAGGAGGAGTCCTCGCCCGCCCGCCCTGCATACCACGGGGGTGGACGGACCTCCTACCCTGATACGTCGATTGGCGACTTGGCCGTTTTCGGTTCGCGAGAGGGCGTCGCGGCCGTCCTTTTTTGCGGGTCCAGGTCCGTCGGGTTCGGTCCTGGGCCGCTTTCACCACGGGGAGGTTTACGAAAGGGAGGTTTGTCCACCGCCGAGATGGGAGGCGGGGGGCCCGGGTGCTGCATCCGGGCGCTGCAGTCGCACTCATGGGGCGCGGTGGTCGAACCGCTTCAGTCGTGTTGTTTGTTGCACTTGGTTTGTCGCCCCTGCCTCGCCGGCGGACTTATGATAGATGTGGGAAGCGGGGGAGGCGCGGTGGTTCCAGGAAGCGTGGGCCGGATGGGGCCAGGAGGGCGAGAAGTCGGTCCCAGAGCGTTCCGGAACGCTCTCCGAGCGTTCCGGAGCGCTCTGAGAAGGCCGCGGCGCCCGAGACATCCTCCAGAGCCGCTGGATCTCAGAGACTCGATTCATCCTTACCCGAATTCATTTTCGTCCTGGCTTCGTCTTAAAGGAGGGCGTGCCCGCTCTCCGATGGTGTCTCGCGCGCAGGGGGGCCTCCCCCAATCTCGGGGCGGGGTCAGTTGGCCGGAGGGCCTGCCACGTCACGGGGCCATCGGTTCCCATGCGGTTGCGGGACTCTTTCAGATCGGAGCGGGGCGTTAGAAGGTGTGAGCGGACGGTCCGAGCGGACTTAGATGCATTCAGCGCTGTGGGTGTTTTTTGGGGGTTCCGTGTTGTATATCAGCGCTTTAATACGCTCTGGGCAGCAGTTTTTGAGGTGATTTTTTTTAAGGCCCAGGATCGGCCCGAGGCCCACCTGCCTGTTTTCTTTCGTTGTCAGTGCGTTTGTTTGAAACACGTTCAGATCTCACAACGCCGCCTGCCTGGCGCCCGTTTTCAGTGGCGCAGTCTTGAACACGGGTTGGTCGAGTCAAGGAAGACAATGAGACAAGGGGGGGAATACACAAAAACGCTCCCATCGCTCTGCAAAAGCAGATCAGCGATCGGGCGGCTTGGCTGCGCAAGGCGGGCGGGACGATGTCAGACGCGCCGTTGAGGATTTTTTAGCTCCTGTGGGAGACGGTTTGTCATCGGCTGGCATTCGGCGGTAATTTTCCTGGAGCTTTCAGGGTGGTCCAAGTGCAAAAGACAAATTCAAATACCAGCCCTAAGGCCCAGTCCCCTCCAGAGTCGGTCTGTCATTCAAAATATCGCGCACCAGAGGAGGGAGGTGGAGGAGCAGCAGGAGGGGGAGGAGGAGGTATTTTTCGGTATAGCACCGCATGTAACTGCCCAACCCGTGGCCTTTGGCTCAAGTTTTTTATTTCGCCTCACGGCGGTACAGAACGCGCGTGCTCTCATTGTCATTGGGACGCGGTAAGAAGGATGGGAAGTCAACCATGATGTTTAGTATCAGGCTGATCAGAGGCGTGCCGAGATAGTTGTCAAAGAGTTAGAGCTAACGAAGGACAAGGTGAGGTATGATATCCCTTGAGAGAAGGTGCCAGTTGGCGAGGATAATGATGAACCGCATAGTTGCAAGGAGCATAACATGCATCAAGTACTTGTAGCTAGATCGAACTACATCGCTCAATTCGGTCTGACAAGTTGTAGCCATTCAAGAGCTGGCCAGGCACGTGTCAGCGCCGATCGTAGGCCCAATGAAAGCGTCCATCAAGCTATGGATGCACCTGAAATGTCACGACATGGCAACATGCATTAAAACATGTACAAAGACGTACCAATGGATGCACATGTTGGTCAGATATCGGCCATGCAGGGCGCAGAAAAAAAAAAAACAGTCCCCGAGTGGAGGAGTAGTAATGTGGGGGGTCACATGATACAATCTTGGAGCTCCACCCAAATATCGATTGCTTTGTCGCAGGGGGAGGCCGAGTATTATTGCATGCCAAGGAGGACATGTAGCCCAGGGTCGGCAGGCAGCATTGAGGGCATCCGGAGCAACATGTGACATCGCGTCCAAGAGTGACGCGACTGCCGCCGTAGCATTATCCAGTAGACGCAGACTGGGCAAGGTAAGGCACGCTGAGGCATGCCAGCTGCGGCCACAGGAAGGGGCAAGGACCGGATGCTTTCAAGTAGACACAGTAGGCGCGGATGACACGTTGACACGTTTGTTGATGCGCTGACTAAGTACGTGAGCAGTGAGAGTACGAGCAGACGCATTGAGGGCACAGGACAGTATCGCGAGGAAGGAAGGCACGAGTTTGCACCAGCAGCAGAATGTCAACTGAGTCGCAACAATTTGCGACCAAGGCTTCAGACACCCCAGCCACCGCGACAGGACAACATCCCGCCTCCGGCCTCTGCTTAATCACTGCCCACCAACCTCGTTCAGCATGGTGATGCCGGGATGCCCGAGATGAATATTGCCCCTGTCACCAGTCTGACGATAAACAAAGTGGCGCTCAACCTCAGTGTACCAGATGCTGTAGCTCTTGAGGGTGTGGGACCGGGAGCCATGGGAGATCCTACGACATACATCTTTTCATTCAGTAACCGGGTGCGCGACGCCATTCGGCAGTGTGACAGCCTCGACGAAGCTACATCACAGTTGACAGCGTGTCAGCGCTAAACTCCGAAAATGTGCTGACGCCGTCCACTGCGTGATTGAAGACCGCGCAGGCAATGCAGACGAATGCCGACGAGATCAAAAGAGTCACCGACGAGTTACTAGCGCGTAGCGATGAACTGATGAAACGCAACGCGGAACTCGTGCAACGCAAGAAGGCCGCGAAGAAAGATAAATATGAGATCCTTACAGGTGTGAGTGCGCCGGCAATTGAACGCGTAAATACCAGGCGTGAGATTGCGGCCAGTAGCGGGCGTTGCGCAGCGAAGGTGGACGAGGCCAGTCTCCTGCTGAGTATTAGCGGCAATGTGCAGCACTTCAACCAGGTCCTCAATGAAGCGGTGCAACACCGTGTCATAGTGACCAAAGCGACCATGAGCGACCAGATGTCAAATCTTGATCCCTCAATTCACCGCTCGCGCATCAGCTAAAGCATCGCCGAAGGCGTCCCAAGATCACTGAGCAACCTCTGACAATCAGCCTCTAGCCGAGCATGGCTCAAAATAGCCTTCAGGAGGCCTCAAGAAAGCCTCCGATCGTGTCTAAATGGGCCGGTGAAGATTCGCGAAGCGTCAAGAACTAGGCACCGAATGCACCAGCAGGCACATGGTCAGGGGCCGGCCCTGGTTATCGGTTTCTCTGTGACACCCCGATTTCACTTTCTGGATAGCCACGGGTCGTTACCGCGGAATCAAGTCCATCTCCGCCAGGAAGTACAAACATTGCGACAAGGGGACGCAGCCGTGGGCATGGCAAGATTCTGACGCGGAGAATCGCGCGTAGAACGATGGCCTGTACATGGAGCGCGAGGAGCCTTACCGGACGGTGGAGAAACAGCGTGAGCGCAGCGAACGCGCTAAGGGGAAGGGTAAACGTGCCACGTCTAGCTCGGCTCACCCCCGACGCAGCCCGTGGACGAGGGCTGACTGACAAGGAATACATCTCCATGTTTCACTCTTCCCTACGACCTGTTGTGCGTGTAACCAGTGAGTACTTCTGGGAGCAGGGCAGCTGCGACACATAAAATAGAGCAGGGATCCAGCCGTAATCTGATTCACGCAGTGCGCTGCCACGTCGCCCTTTCTCCTGTGCTGCTTAGTCACATGTAGCAGTGTACACGTGCATAGATGTCAGCGTCTGAGCACATTCAATGAGCAATTGCCACATGTTTGGCCACTTGTCAGGCTGCAGCTTTTGCATTGCTGATTTGCCTCCAGTTGCTGCACGAAGCAAGCAAGCTACTGGAAGATGGCACGTAGCCAGCCTGACTTGGGTCGTCAGGTCGCGGGGTTGCGTTTCGGTATAGCACCTTAGATTACTTTGCTATCCATGATCTTTGGCTCAAGTATTCACCCCTTTCGCGGCGGTACAGAACGCGCGTACGTACTCTGTTTTTCCCAACCATCCTGTGGTGTTGGGTCCTCGTTTTGAAGAGACAGCGCTCCGCGTTCACTCCTCCTCCCGCTGCCCCCTCCCTCCTGCCATCATCATCATCATCATCATCATCATCATCATCATCATCATCATCATCATCATCATCACCATCATCATCATCATCATCATCATCATCATCATCATCATCATCCCCTCACACGCTTCGTGGCCCCATAGGGAGCTCTACCGAAGGCCCCAGTGGCTGCGCTCCCATGCGCCCACCGCACCCATTTCGGCACACCCCTCACACGTTTCGTGGCCCCATAGGGAGCTCCAGCGAAGGCCCCAGTGGCTGCGCTCCCATGCGCCCACCGCACCCATTTCGGCACACCCCTCACACGTTTCGTGGCCCCATAGGGAGCTCCAGCGAAGGCCCCAGTGGCTGCGCTCCCATGCGCCCACCGCACAGATTTCGGCACACCCCTCACACGCTTCGTGGCCCCATAGGGAGCTCCACCGAAGGCCCCAGTGGCTGCGCTCCCATGCGCCCGCCGCACCCATTTCGGCACACCCCTCACACGTTTCGTGGCCCCATAGGGAGCTCCAGCGAAGGCCCCAGTGGCTGCGCTCCCATGCACCCACCGCACCCATTTCGGCACACCCCTCACACGTTTCGTGGCCCCATAGGGAGCTCCAGCGAAGGCCCCAGTGGCTGCGCTCCCATGCGCCCACCGCCCCATTTCGGCACACCCCTCACACGTTTCGTGGCCCCATAGGGAGCTCCACCGAAGGCCCCAGTGGCTGCGCCCCATGCGCACCCATTTCGCACACCCCTCACACGTTTCGTGGCCCCATAGGGAGCTCCAGCGAAGGCCCCAGTGGCTGCGCTCCCATGCGCCCACCGCACCCATTTCGGCACACCCTCACACGTTTCGTGGCCCCATAGGGAGCTCCAGCGAAGGCCCCAGTGGCTGCGCTCCCATGCGCCCACCGCACCCATTTCGGCACACCCCTCACACGTTTCGTGGCCCCATAGGGAGCTCCAGCGAAGGCCCCAGTGGCTGCGCTCCCATGCGCCCACCGCACAGATTTCGGCACACCCCTCACACGTTTCGTGGCCCCATAGGGAGCTCAACCGAAGGCCCCCGTGGCTGCGCTCCCATGCGCCCACCGCACCCATTTCTGCACACCCCTCACACGTTTCGTGGCCCCATAGGGAATTCCAGCGAAGGCCCCAGTGGCTGCGCTCCCATGCGCCCACCGCACCCATTTCGGCACACCCATCACACGTTTCGTGGTCCCATGGGGAACTCCAGCGAAGGCCCCAGTGGCTGCGCTCCCATGCGCCCGCCGCACCCATTTCGGCACACCCCTCACACGTTGCGTGGCCCCATAGGGAGCTCCAGCGAAGGCCCCAGTGGCTGCGCTCCCATGCGCCCACCGCACAGACTTCGGCACACCCCTCACACGCTTCGTGGCCCCATAGGGAGCTCCACCGAAGGCCCCCATGGCTGCGCTCCCATGCGCCCGCCGCACTACTACCACTACTACCACTACTACTACCACTACTACCTGCATATGGTTGGGTCCTTCGCCAGGCTAATTCACTGTTCACTCACATTCGCCTGTTGCAACATAGTGTCTTTTCTTTGTCACAGCTGTTCTGTTAAGCTTGCAGAGGAATAGGAAGGGACAGGGCAGCTGGAGGAGTAGGAGCAGGAAGAGGCTGACATGGAGGAGTAGGAGGAAGAGAAGGAGGAGGAAGAGGAGGGGGAGAAGGACGAGGAAATGAAATATGAGGAGGACGGACATGAACGTGGAGCAGGAGGAGGAAAACGTGGAGGAGCATGAGGACGAATATGGCGATGAATAATACATCTTTTAATCTGAGGATGATGGTATGATGGTGGTAATTCTGAGGATGGTGATCGTGGTGGCGAAAACGATGAGATGCTGATTCGGATGATGCTGTTGTTGATGCTGATGACCATGATGTCGACGATGACGATGGTGATGGCGATGGCGATGACGATCACGACGAGGAGGCAGAGGAGGAGGAGGCCGACCGAGGCGGAGGAGGAGGAGGAAGAGGAGGAGGGGCTGGCGCCATGTTCCATCCCCGTTCTTCTTCCCTCGGAGCGGAAGCGCACACCCCAGAGGGAGCCCCCGACGGGGCGGAGCTCATCGACCTGTCCGACTCCGAGTGACGGGCGGGCCCGCCGCCGCGCGCGTGCGCGGACCGCGGACGACCCCGCCCTGCCCCGGCCTGCCGCGCCCGTGTGCGCACGCACGCTCGCCCCTGCGCGCGTGCGCGCGCACGTGTCCGCATGCGTGTCGCCGACGCCGCCCCCGACGCCGCGTGTGTACCCGACGGCCCCCCCGACCGCCTTGCCGACCCCCCCTGCCCCGCGGCCCTCCCGACGGCCCCCGCCGACCCCCCCCCCCGATCCCCGATTCCACCCCCCCCGACGCCGTGCCCCACGCCCCGATCCCCGATCCCCCCCCTTTCCCTGATCCCCGATCCCCCCCCCCGATCCCCGATCCCCCCTGCCCCGCGGCCCTCCCGACGGCCCCCGCCGACCTCCCCCCCCGACCCCCCCGATTCCCCCCCCCGACGCCGTGCCCCACGCCTCTCCCGACGGCGCACTGGGTCGGCCCACCCGGCGCATCCGTCGGCGTAGACCTGGCGGTCCGTCCCGGCGCCGCGCCCGACGCCCTGCCCGAGGCCGGTCCCGCCGCCGTAGCCGTCGGATTCCCAGGCCACCCTACCGTGCCGTGTTTACTACGTGCTCCGCGTGCGGATCGTGTCTTAAACTTACCCCAGTGCGACCCTACCTAGAAGTTAGAGCCCCTCAGTAAAGCAGCATTAGAAGTTGGAGCCCCCAGTAAAGCAGCATTAGTTTTTACTACATGCTCCGCGTGCGGATCATGTCTTAAGATTGCAGGGGTTTAGTATTACAAACAACGAGGAGTTCATGCACAAATTTATTCATGAATGAATCATGTATTGAAAATCCTATATTTTCAAACATCCTATGTATCAAAAACTGCTCTGTACCGTGGAGGATGGGCGCAGCTGTGCAAGCGCGGCTCGAGGAGCTGGCTCGGGGAGCTGGCGGGAGCATGAGGCGCAGCTGCATGCAGGCGCAGGGACGTCCTCGCACGTGACCGCGAACGGTGGCTGAGCACGTCGGCGTGTTTCCCTGAGTGGGTTGCTCCTTCGTTCGCTCTCCCCCTCTTCCCTGCCTTGGTGCGTGTGCCTTCTTCTCCTCTTTCTCTGGCCCCTCGTCCTTGGCTTCTTGTCTCCTCTTTCCCTCTCCGTACCTTGCCTTACAGCCAAGGCGCTGAAATAAGGGCCGCTTTGGGTTCGGAAGGGGCTCGAGGATTTGGGTCGTTTCTTAGATTTGTGTCGCCGGATTTGCTTGTGGCCTAGGCCCACCGTGGCCAGAAAAGCTCCTTTGTTCCTCACTTGGCGTTCCTTCTGGTAGCATCTCGACTGTACCGCTGTGGTGTTGTGTCTTTTGTTATCCTTCCCCCTGGCTTTATGTCGGGCCTGTCCCCCTACAGGGGGATTTTCGACGAAAAATAAAAAATACCCCACAAGTAACCAAAAAATGCAAATAAAAAACACCCCACAAGTAACCAAAAAATGCTAAAAAAAATAGTCCGGGGACTAATTCTGGAGCATTTTTTGACCTTTTTGGAGTATTTTTGGGGTATCTTTGTTTCTTCGTCGAAAATCCCCCTGTAGGGGGACAGGCCCGACTTAACCCTGGCTCCCCTCCACCGCCGGTCGGCCCGCCGGCCTTCGTGCCCGCCTCCCTCTCCCTCCTCCCTCGGCTGTCGCTCCTGGCTCCGCGCTTCTCTCGTTGCTCTGCTCGTCCCTCCTATTCCCTTGTCTTGATGGCTCCTGGTCGGCAGAACCCGTGTCCTGCTACAGTGGGAGCTCGCATCAAGAAACCATGTGCTTTTCGTCAGGGTATCCTGGGTTTCGTCGCTCCTCGCGCTGCGCGGTGACTTCCCGCAGCCGTTGAAGTAGCTGCTGCGTCCAGGGCGTTTTGGGTTTTCTCTCAGGTGCACCTCGCGCACGGGTTCGTAGGGTTGGGTTTCCTGCGAGGGTTTCTTGCGGCCGCGCCCGCACTGCAGGCCATCCGGTTTATGGCCTGCCTTGCTTGGTTTCGTTTGCCCGCTTTCTGGGATCGGCCCTCGATAGCATCGCGTAGCTTGTCGTTTACTTGGGGCGCTCGAGTGGCTTTCGCCCCAGCTGCGTGCGACCGAAGCCGTGTGTGTATGTGTGTGTGTGTGTGTGTTTGTGTGTGTGTGTTTGTGTGTGTTTGTGTGTGTGTGCTTGTGCTTGTGTGTGCGTGTGTGTGTGTGTGTTTGTGTGTGTGTGTGTGTGTCTGACTCTCCGGCTGCCTCCGCCGCGTCGCTGCCCGCGTGGCTGCGATACCAAAAGTGTGTGTGTGTGTGTGTGCGCGTGTGTGTGTGTTTGTAAATGCCCGAGGGCAACACAGCCCTGACATGTTTGGTGACATGATCTGAGTATCTGTTCACTGTCCAGTCCACCCGCTGCGGGCAATGAGCGTTCTCATAACGTTCCACTGGACGTGGAACTTACATAAGAATCTGTGCGGCCGTCAGCCGCTCCCTAGCCCTCTGCCTCTCTCCATCTCCCCTGTTCCACGGACGGGATGGCACCGCCATTCGTCCCCATACACACAAGGACGGGACTGCCTTCGGCCACGCGTTCACGCGGGTTCGCTCTCAAGCTCGTATGGCCACCGGCCGTCCCCCGGCACCAGGAGTCCCCGGTGGGCCCCCCTCAACCTGGCCCGCAGGTGATGTCAGTACCCACCGCCCCCGCCAAGCGAGGGTCCCACAAGGGCAGGGCGGCTAGCTGCCACATGACCCCGCGGCCCCGCATCGTCGTGTGGGTTGCCGCCCCCTGGCGCTGGTGTCCCCTGGTGTCCGCCTCTCTCCCGCTGCACTGGCGATGTCTATTCCCGCCAGTCTGGCCCGCCTTCCGCGCAATACGCGGTCCTCTAAGTGGCGTCTACGTCGTGACCCTGGGCTGGGCTCCCTGGTGCAGTCGCCTTCAGGGCCTGGTCCATGAAGCCTTGTTGCTCGGGACTGGCGTCGTCCCCAGGGTACTCGGGTTGTGTCGCGGAGTGGTGCAGCCTTCCAGCAGACACCGTGCTTCCCCTGTGCCCCGTCCCTGCCTACCTGGCTTGCTCTGTGCCGCTGACGCGGCCCTGGCCCTTGGCGCCCTGCGGCGACATGGTCAGGCTGTACCTGGTTACTCCTGGCCACAGTGCCTGTGCTCAATCGCGTTCACCCAGCTCCGGTCCTGGTTGCGCACCGCTTTCTGGTTCACCAGCAGTGGCAGCGCCCCACCACTTCGCGGCATGGCCACGTGCACAGTGATGGACAGGCGCTCCTGGCGTGCAGTTCCTAATTCCACCTCTGGTACTTCTGCTTCAGGTATGCAAGTTGCATCAGCTTCCCTGGGCGTTGCAGACCAGCCATCCAGTTCCACCAGCCGCTGCTGCACCTCAGCCGCCGCTTCTGAGTGCTGGCCCGCCCGGATTGCGTGTCGCTTGGTAGCTAATTAGGCTGGCCCGTGCCCCGGACCCCCTCTCGCCGCCTGCCTCCTGCTTGCGGCCGCGACCAACAAATGTGTGTGTGTGGTCGTTGGCCGTTGTCGTTGCTTGTTTCACTCCGCCGTGGGGCAGCCTTGCTGCTGTGCTATTTTCCCGCTGTCCACGCCTGGACGGCTTATGGCGTCCTCCAGCTCTCATGCGGCCGTGGTGAGTCTCTCCCACGGTTTTGCGTCGACCCTCCGTGCCATCCTTGCCCAGATGGCCGATGCCGATAGGTTTGCATCCTCAGTGATGTTGGGGGCCCCGCCGCCGCGCGCGCTGGTCTGACCGTTGCACTGTCTTCGCTTCGTCACTGCGCGCGAGGCCGCTACCGCCAAAATCGTGCGTGTGTGTGTGTGTGTGGCCGAGCGCGCGTGCGGCCTGCCTCTGCCGCGCTGCGACGTAACAGAAGTGTGTGTCTGTGTGTCTGTCTGTTGTCTGTCTTGTCTTGTCCTGTCTTGTCCTGTCTTGTCTTGTTCTGTCTTGTTCTGTCTTGTCCTGTCCTGTCCTGTCCTGTCCTGCCTTGTCCTGTCTGTCTTGTCCCGTTTTATTGTCTGTCTGTCCTGTCTGTCTGTCCTGTCTGTCCGTCCTGTCAGTCTGTCTGTCTGTCTGTCTATCTGTCTGTCTGTCTGTCTGTCTGTCTGTCTGTCTGTCTGTCTGTCTGCCTGTCTGTCTGTCTGTCTGTCTGTCTGTCTGTCTGTCTGTCTGTCTGTGTGCGCGTGTGTCCTGCCTGCCAGGTCCCTCCGCCGCGCTTTCGAGCTTGCCGTTGGCTCTCTTTCCTCTGCCTCGCTCCCTCCCCGGCGCGGCCTTCTACTGCCGCGCGTGATTTGCAGTGTCCAGCGGAGTGCGGTCTCACCCAGGTCGCGTCGCGAGCTCGCGGCAACCTGCAGGGGTGGAGGCTGTCAACTGCGCAGCTGTTGCCACCTTCGTGAGCGCTTGGGAGGTCCAGCGGAGCGCGGTCCCACCCAGATCGCGTCGAGGGCTCGCGGCTCCCTGGGAGGGGGGCTGTCAGCTGCGCGTGATCCGACGTTCTCTGGCGAAGCGTTCGGCGACACTGCAGGCCCCGCAGCGTGGTATGCCCTACGGAGCGGTCCTGCACGGGTCTGCCCCGTGTCTAGACGTTGGTTGGGTACGTCCCCGCACGGTCTGCACCCATGTCGTTTAGGAGCGTTCGTGTTGTAACGAATGCTTGACTGGTGTTGGTGATTGATGTGCTTGTCCTATTGGTGCCATGGATGCCTGTCATCAGTGCCTGGTCTGAGCGCGTGTCCTCGATACCTGATGTGGGTGCCTGTTTGTCTGTCCTTGATGCCAGTGATTGGTGCCTTCTATTGGTCTGCATGCTGGATGCACGTTTCTTGAAGTATGTAATGTGTTGGTTTATTTGGTGCATGTTATTGGAATGTGCTACCGGTTCATCTTACTTATGTATGCGGCTGGTGCCTTTTACTGGCATATGTTGCTCGTGTCCGTTGTGTGTATGCCATTCAGATATGAATTGATGTCTGTCCCTGGCGTTTCTTCATGATGCATGTTCTCGGTGTCTGTTCTTGATGTCGCTTCTAGAT